TTTTTGCAGAACCAGGGATTGAACTCAGGCCCTTGTGCTTGCCAGGGAAGTGCTTATTCCACTGAGCCATCTCCCCGGCCCCAAAACATCTGGATAGAAACTTTTTTTTTTCCCGCAGAACCAGGGATTGAACTCAGGCCCTTGCACTTGCCAGGGCAGCGCTTATTTCACTGAGCCATCTCCCCGGCCCCTTGTTAACACTTATTGTCTAAAAATATATCCTATTCCACTTATATATCCTAATCCACCCTGTGATTCCACCAAATGTGGGAAACTTGTCCACATGATCTGTAGTAGTGGTGACTGTCTTCATGCTTTCCCAGTGGGCACACATGACGTGTTAAGAACAAAAGTAGCATCAGAGTTTTCCAAATTGACATGAAAGCCAGTAGCTCAAAGTCTGAATTTGATACCTAGCTAAACTATCATGTAAGTGTGGTGATTGAAGACATTTTAAAGGTCAAAATTATTGGATATTTGTTATACTATTTAATCTTGAACACTACTCCAGAATACAGAGATGAAACTGCTGAAACCCTCACCAACGTACTCAAGTAACAGCGAAGAAACCTTTCATAATCCACATGAAGGATTATCAGCAACATTGCTGAATCCTAGCCTTTTAAATGCTGGATTAAAGTGAGAACTATGTAAACCTTGTTACACTAATTTCTAAAATAAAAAAGTATAAATTAGATTATAATAAGTCATGATGATCATCACAAGCAAAAATAATACAAATGTAGCCTTTGTTTTCAGTATCATGACTGTTTACACATTTACCCTAACTTTCACAAAAGACATATCATGAGAGGTAGCAACACGTCTATTTTGTATTTGGGAAACCAGAGTTAATTGCTGAGGCTACCTCCAGATCCAAAAAGGTCTAATTTTAAAACATAAGTTTGAAACAATAATACTATGGAATACTGTAGACTATTTAGGATACCATGAAAGATACTCAATGTACATTGTGCAGACAGTCAATAAGAGAGGTGAATTTTGAGTATGAGGATATGATTGAGAATAGATTAGAACTTGGAACAGCAAGACTTCTATTCATAGGTGGATATTGTATGAGTCAGAAAGACAAGATTCGTGAATATCTATTTTTATATAGAGCTATTAGGATATATTAATGGGTATGATCCCTCAAACACTAATGCAATGTTAATGTTCTATCACTACTGGGCTATGTTCTTCACATCAACCTTCCATGGTCCCATCACCTTGAGACCAATCCACTAATGACATAAATCAGGCGCACAGTTTAAATGCTGCCTGATTTTGCTTATATGAGATATCCAAAATATAAATAAAGAGCAACATAAACGATAGATAATGCTGAGTAGTGGAGTACATCTTACTCAAAAAGAAAGAAATCAAGCAATAGACAGAGGGGTAATCCAAGAGGAAAAGGGGATGAGAACAAGAATGAAGACACGCTATCTACACATGCCAACTCTGCACAAGGAATGTCGGCACTAGGTACAGTGAACATGTGCCAATGAAAGTGGTTTTTAAAAAGTAGTTTAGTGCCTGCAGTGTTTAATGCCAAATCCTCCCTAGAAATCCTGACTAGTTCTGCTCTCATTGCTGCCTTCTGATCCAGTTAGGGATTTGGCTGGTAGTTAATGATCATGTCTGAAAGACCTGATATAAGAAGGAAATCTCTTTTCTGCAATGCTGAAGATAAGTCTATTGGGAAGAAATTAATTATCTCAGCAGCCCATGCTGCATTTCTAAAGACATATCAGAAAGTGTTTAAATCCATCTCATGGCAAATCACAGGAACCTTTACATAAGTGGATGTCACTTGAAGATACACTCATAAGTGAAATAAACCAGACCCACATGTGTAAATATTGTATAGTCTCCCTAGTGTAAGAACTCAAAAGAAGAAACAAAAGTAGAAAATTATAACACAATTAAAAGGAAAGCAACAACTTAAGAATTAAATAACAAAGAGAGGGCAAGGAGAAAAACTAGGAAACATGACAGAGGCAAAATCATACATTTTACACACAGGATGGCCAAGGCAATGATCCTGAGACTCTTCAGCATGTCTTATTTTATTATTATTTTTTTTTTCGGAACGGGGGATTGAACTCAGGCTCTTGCGCTTGCCAGACAAGCACTTATTCTACTGATCTATCTCCCCAGCCCTTCAGCAGGTTTTTGAAACTAGCAGTTAATTGGTAGAATTCTCACCCTGATTAACTATCTATGCTCATACCTGTGAACTAAGCAACTGCACTGAAGATAACAATGTGTAATAGTAGGGCTGTGCTTGCAATGTCTGTCATTCTGATCTTCTAAATAAGTACTGCTTCTAATGTCATATCAATTGCTGCTATACTGTCTCGCAAGTGTTTGTTAAAAAAAAAGGGTAATAAATGAAAACAAGAGACAAGAAAAAAAAATGTCATAGGACAGTCCTGCTACAATGCTGTATATGGTTAGATTTCTAAATTTCTGTGTAAAAATATGTAATTGTTTCTTCCTATTTTTTAAATATTTTTCAGTTTTTAATTTTTTTCCTCACATTCTATAGGGATTTAAAGTTTAACATATCAATATTTGATGGAAAATACCTGTTCCATGTGTCTAAGATGTTTGATATTCAGACAGACAGTGAGGTTAAGCTCAACTGCCTATGTTATAGGGTAATAATATCATTAAGCTTCTCTTCTGGAGTGTCAACAACTTACGTTTGCAAACCAAAAATTGGAGAAAAAGATGAGCTACAAGGATAGCCAACATTTTT